GCCCCCCGCCCCCCCCCCCCCCCCCCCGAGCCCCCCGGGAGAGGGGGGCGGCTGCCCCATCGTGCTGGACCCACCGTGCCCCACAGCGTCCCCGAGCCCGCAGCATCCCCTGAGCATGCAGCGTCCCCGAGCCCGCAGTGACCCCGAGCTTGCAGCATCCCCTGAGCATGCAGCACCCCGAGCCCACAGCACCCCGGTCCCCAGGGAGCCCCCAACCCATTGCCCCATGCCGCTGCACCCCTCGCTTGGGCAGGTCCCCGGGGACCACAGGCAAGTGCACCCTGGGAAAATCCCTTCCCTTCCGGCAGGATTTTCCCGGGACTCCCCCAGCCCGGCGGCGAGTGCTGCCGGAGCCCGGCTGCGCGGCGAGGACCGAAGTGCCGCGCTCCCTCCGGGTACCATCCCTGCTGGCACGCTGCCCCTGCGTCCCCCCGTGGATGCTCTCGCTGCCTGCAGGACCCCAGCCCCCCAGCACCCACGGGGCTGGGCAGCCCTCCCCGAGCCGCTCAGTCCACAGGGAATTTGCAGGGGTTCTGGCGCGTGCGCCGCGCCCCCTCGTAGATGCGCTGGAAGTCCCTATAGCGGGGTGCGCAGCTCAGCCAGGCTTCGCCAAAATGCAGCCACCCCGTGAAGAGGAAGGTGCCAGGGCCTGGCTTGACCCCGCAGCGTAGCGGGGTGCGGATGCTGCCCGCCAGCCGCCCCCCCACCTGGAAGAGGGGGAACTTTTGGCGATGGATGCGGGCGGCGCTCACCCCGATGACGGATTCCTGCAGCTCCGCGTCGTTGGAGACGCTCCGGATGCTGCCGCGGATCACTGGGGGAGGAAGGCAGGGAGGGGTGTCAGCGAGACCCTGTCCCCATCCCCTTGTCCCCGTCCCTATCCCCCTCCCCGTCCCCATCCCTGTCCCTTGTCCCCACCCCCATCCTCATCCCCGTCCCACAGCAGCCTCTGGGACACTGATGACCGCAGCCCAAGCCAGGCCAGCCCGGGAAAGGGAGGCCAGGGC